TCCGGTGGTTTAATCCGAAAAGATAAAATAACGTGTTTTTCTTTTGACGCGCTCAATTCTTCTAATTTTTTTTTTTCCCCGGTTTCCGTAAATTAAAAAAGGATGTAATAACGTCACATATGCACCTAATAATATCTAGATTTCCAATATGTAAGAATGTTATAATTAGATTGATAATTGAGAAGAAAATCACAAATAATGTCACATTGTGACCCAAATATTGTCAATATTGTCTTAACAGTTCTTTTTTAAAAAATTTTTATTCCAATTCAAGTATTGATTGATTATTTACATAAATAAAGAAGTTAAATAAATTATTATTTTTTAAAAATGTTACATTGGTGAAACCTTTCTTTCAAACTTTCAAAATTTAATGCTATTCCAAGAAAAGAATCTGTCAAAAAAGTAAACAAATTTCTATTCGATGCAGGTTCCAAAAATTAGGATTTTTAATTGAATCATTTAGTTTTGAAATTTACTTTAATTATCTTAACAATATAAATCCTTATAATAAAAAATTCTTTTGAGGGAAAATAAAGTTTTTTTTCTTATGAAAACCTTAATGTTTCAAACCGGTTTTTTCTCTTGTTACGCCTAAATACAAGAGCACATTATTTAGAGTAAACAGGTCATCTTACCTGTTTTGACCTATTACATACGTTTTTACATAACTTTTTGGGGAAATAAAAATTTGCTTACGATTTTTTTTTTTTTCCAACTAATAAAAAAAAAAACGATTTCTCCGAAATCATTTAAAACATAATAACCCTTTTTTTTTTTCATTTGAAAACTTTGTGATAGGTATATTTTTGTTGTTGCTTCGAATGGTTAAAAAAGATTCCAAAGTTTATGATCATTCCCTTTTTTTTTGTTTTAAGGTTTCAATTAATACAAATTTAAAACTTTGTGATATTTTGTAGTAATTAAAACTTATTATCATCTATTTTGGTGAATTGGCGTCATAAAGTTTTTAAGTGAGGCGCTAACAGAACAGAAAAAAAAAAAACCAACCAAATTTGTCAGAGATAAAAAATTTTTTTTTTTCCTCTATTTTTTTCCAACACTTTTTTTTTTTTTTGAAATAAAAATTATTTTGATAAACAAGATATTCCAAACATTTCTTCATTTAGTAAGGTTCAAGAATAAAGAAATAAATTTAATTTGAACAGGTGAACAAATAACAAAGGAATTTTAATTTTTTTTTTTTTTTTTTTTTTACAAGGACTTTTTTTTTTTTTTTTGTTTACAAATATTTACACTTTTTTCATTACACAAGAGCGTTATTGAAAAAAAAATGTAGGGATATTTTTTTTTCTTTCTGAATGACGATATCTTTTGACCTTAGCTTGCCTCTTGCTTTTTTATTTACCATTACCTAACCTACATCGCCCATCGCCCAGCCAAGTAAATTCGTTTGTTTACATGGTAAACGTTTTAACGGACAATGAAACACCCCATCAAAAATTGATATTAGGCTTTTACGTTCCCTTTTAATTCGTGCGCCTAGTTTTTTTTTAGGTTTTATTTAAATCATTTTTGGAATTCTGTTATCTGAGTAATTCCCTCAACGACAATAAGATACGCCGACACGTAATAAGAATCTTGTTTTAATTGTTCAAAAGTTTAAGGACAACAAAAAAAAAAATATATTAGAAATTTTATTTCACATTTTAAAATGAACCTTTGAATGTTCATGATAAAGAATAAACAAATGATCCATCTTTGAAACAAGTTTTTTTTTTTTTAACAATGAAATTTTGATTTTTGATTCTTTTGCATCAAAAGAGAGACATTGAAAATAATAATTAATATTTCCTAAAAGAAGCAATGCCGCGGGACAACAAATGCCAAACAACAAAATATTTTTTTTTTGACGAAACGTTTTGTTCCTCGTATGAATGTCTAGAAAATAGTAGGATTATCATTAAACAGATTTATTGATCCGGAATCACAAATCAAGCAAAGGAAAAAAAAAAAGTGAAACACATACTTTTGTCCAGGTGATCATGTCAAATCAGGTGACATGTCGTGGTTCAGGTGATCTAATGTTTATTTCGACTTACCACCGAGTCGAACCTGAGTCAAAAAAGTTGTTTTATTCGTTCAATCCCAGTACAGCTACCACACATCATGAAGTTCCATGAATAACAAATAACAAAGCCGGGGTTAACCGCGTATTTTATAAATTCTTATTTACCTTCGCGAATTTAGTTTCATTGATTGCAATAGTTGGTTTAGTGTACCTGTTTGATTGCCCTTTACGCGACTTGCAATTTGTTTACATCTTGGTAAACCTTTCGTGGTCGCTTGGCTGAAGCAAGTAGGAAAATAATAATAAAGCAGATCTTTTCTTTGAATTTTTTTTTTTCCATTCTCATATTCCATTTTTATAAAGGGGTTTATTAATGGGGTGAATACATGGTGTGTTTGAGAGTTTAATGTTTTGAGACTTGATCTGTCTAATTACGGGTCAAAATTTTCTTTTTAACTCATATTAAAAAAATCACTATATTTTGTTTTTTTATTTGGGGTTTATACAGTGAATATATATAGTTACCCCATTCTTATTTGTTGTTATTTATATTAATGTATTTGCAATCCTTATTGTAAAAAAAAAATAACACCCCCCCATTCACAAAAAAGAAATTCCGACTTGGGGTGTTCGCATATCTTTTGTCATTGAATGATTTTGTTTTCCGATTCGAAGTAATTAATTATTTTGGGAAATGTTTGAAATGCAGGTAATTGATCACGGGATACATCACGAGGCACATCGTACGTTTAAGATTTAATTACCATTTTTTTTTCAATCAAATCATGACATCTTAAACGCATCAACACATCAAAAAAAGAATGTTTGACCAAGGTTTTTCAGAACATTGATCGAATAGTCTAGAAATTTGTACCCCCTCGATTGCATGAAACTTAGATTTCAATTTTGGTTATGCAGTTCACGCGGTTGGATGTTTGTTTCAAAAAAAAAAAAAAAAAAAAAAAAGGTTGTGTTCCACCTCAATAAAATGATCATCGATTCTTTCAATGTAGGTAATAATTTCGTAATGTTTTTTTTTTTTTTTTTTTTTTTTATAAACTTGGAAATTGATTAGATGAGGGTGTGTAATCATGTCAAGTTTTTTTTTTTTTTTTTTAAAAAAAAAAAAGCCCATTAAAAAAAACTTGTAAATTGCGGATCTCGTTATTTCGGTATTCAAAACAAAAAAAAAACTCCCCCAATTTTTTTTTTTTCTCTTTTTGATGTTTGAAATGAGAGAGTGTGTATATCATGGGGTGATACAATTGTAAATATTCCAATTCATTATTGTAAACAAAGATGTTTGTCAAAAGTAAAGAAGAACTTTATCCTCATTGTGCCCTCTTTTTTGTTGAAAAAAGGTCAAACCTTTTTAAAGTTCATCATTATTATTTTATTATTATAATAATTTTTTTTTTTTTTGACACTTAAATATTCCCCATAAAAGTTAAAAGTGCAGATCACTCCGCATTTCATTGAAGTGAGTTTTTTATCAGATTCAACTACCCAATTACAAAAAATCATTCCACTTGGGATGAGTGGCACTGGGCGGTTTGAATCAAATAGGACCCGTCCCGTAGAAACTCGGGTAATCGTCCGTATTAGGAGGAGGGAAGGAGGGAAATTACAAGTTAAGACGAAATTCGTACATGTTGATTGCCAAATTAAAAAAAAAATTTGATTGCTGCTGCGGTACAATTATAATTTTTTTGTGGGGTAAAAAGGCAAAAAATAAAGAGGAGTGTATCAGTTGCCTATTATTGGACTTATTGGAATAACATTTGGTTGATACTTTTTTTTTAAAGTTCTAATTTACTCGATTTGGTAATCGAGTTTTCCTTGTTCATGTATGTTAAATGTTATGCAAAAGCAAAAGCAACCTATTTACGCAATTACAAATTACTTCATTACATCACGAGACTCAATGTTTTGTTGAACGCGCGCATATAATTTTCGACCAATTGACGTAATGACGGTGGTCAAACCTTAAGGAAAAATTGTCGCGCCTAATAAATTGAAATCATTCCCTAAATGATTTTTTTTTTTTTTCCTAATCGTTGATCCCAAACAGGCGTAACCTACTTGCTTACTATAATAAAATTAGATTATTATTATTCTAACTATTGTAACTTTGGTTAAACTGTCAATCCTTTTTTTTTTTTTAAGGAAGTACGTACAAAAGCTATTTCCATTTATTACATGCATCAGAATTGGGAAATTGTTTGAGTAAATGAATACTTATCAATGAAGATTTTACAATAATGATCATCTATCTTTATAGAGATTTTATTACACTATCATTATCAATTTTGTTTTGATGTTTATGCTTACATCAATAAATCATTCACCTTTTAAAAAATGGGAAACGATTATTTATCATCTATACGATTTTATTTCTTAATCTATATGATAGTTGGCTGAATATGGCTTGTTATTCTCGATTAAATTTCTTCGTTAAATTTTCTCCCACGCAGAAAAGGTTTGCATAATTATGTACCCCTGTGGTGATTTATTGAAAGATGATAAACAAATCAGTCTGAACTACATTAAAGATTGTCAATCTACATCAAGAAAGATACTTTTATAAACCATAATTTTTATTAGATCTTTGAAACAAAGGAGTTTGATGTGATAACTTTATTTGATTATCTCTTTTATATACATTTTGTCCTATTGAAAAATACTTTATAAAGGTTTTGACCAATTTGTCACGTGAGCTTGCGTCACTCGAACTACAAAAGGCGGTCCAAAAATTTTTTTATTTTACGTAAAAATAAAACAAAAGAAAATAAATAAGAAAAAAAAAAAACGAGAATGAATCAGGAACTATGCCAATAAAAAATGCAAAAATGCCAAGATTTATGTGTAGGGTAATGTATTTTTTTTTTTTTTGAATCTCAATTTTGGATAATGTTCAAATGTATTCAAAATCTGAAATGATTCAACTAAAAAGTTCGATGCAAATAATTTATTCCCTAAGGAGAGCATGCACAATATGTCCAACTCTCATATTCTTTAAATCTGTATAAGTTTGTCCGGTTCCAACAAATAATATCGGTTGCCCCGTTGTGTAAGTCATCGATAAAGCCGCACCAACCTATCAAAAAAAATTTTGGATCATTAATCGTTATATAGATGATTTCCATAGAATTTCCAAAGTATCTTTAAAAAAAATCTTAACGATTATCATATATCAACAAACCTTATCATCAATTGTGTCAAATTTCGTCAAGATCATTCCATCAATTTGTCGCGGATTTTGCAATCCAGAAAAATCTTTCAATGCTTGATTGAATTTTGTAAGTTGGTCAACTGCTTCATTCCCAACTAAAGCTTCGCCAACGAATATTATTTTATCTGGATTATTCACAGATACCAGCTAAAATAAAACAGGGCGAACAATTTATTAAAAAGATCGCATAAAGATATGTCGCAATTAACTTCATTAAATTCAATACCTTCGCTAACGCACGCATTAATGGTTCATTGTCCTGCATACGTCCTGCCGTATCGATCAATACGACATCAAATTTATTTGCTTTTGCTAAGGGTAAAGATATGTCTTTGCATTAAACAAATATATTCAAATTATCAGCTAAAACAAAAATCATATAATCATATCCAAGAAATACCATAGTTGACTGCATCTTTTGCTATCCCGGCAGCATCTTTGCCATATCCACGTTCATATAATTCAACAGTTGAATTTTGACCCAAAGCATTCAAATTTCTAACATGCACTCTTAATTGTTCTACGGCACCTGATCTAAAAGTATCACACGCTGCAATGAGGACCTTTAATCCATTTTGTAATAACCAAAAACAAGTCTTCGATAGATTTGTAGACTAAACAAAGAGAAGCGCATTTAATTATTAACACAAATATAACTTTTTTTTTTAAAAAAAAAAAAAAGATTCGCTCACATTATGGGCCACAGTCAAATCCGCCAATAAGAAGCGTTCGTTTTTATCAACTTTGAATCCGTAATATGGACCAAGGCCAACATTCACCACTTTAAAGCTCCATACCATATCACGATTGTCTAGCTTAAGGTTGCAATCACGGTGTTTACACACCTTTTTACGTGATACGATTAATGGAAGCTTATCTAACTCATTACCAGTGATGGTTGTATAAAAATATGGTGCCGTTATATTATTTGAAACCTCTTTCATGCTTCTCTTAACATTGATGGAACAAAATCCTGATAAATTGGCCAAATTACGAACTTGTTCAACGATGTTACATCGCTTCTGTGGAGATTGGTAGATATACTCGTAAGATCCCTTCTGTTTTTCTAGTAAATGCCCGCCAATATCTAAGATTCCGGCAAGGAGAGGCAAACGAACCTATAAACCAAGAAAGTTGAATAAAAGATTATGAAAAAGGCAACCTTATGTAATATAAAGATATATCAAACCTGATCGAGTTCATCGGTCATAATGACTGGTGGTACTTTTTTAGCATCCAAAATATCGAGCATACGGAGAAGACGTAAGAACTCGCTTTCAAAACCGCTACCATGAATAAATGAAATTCTCTGTTGTTCTTTATTTGAATTATCTTTAATACACTTCCAATTCAACGTTTCACCATGTTTTTCCATCGCCTTCACTATTTCAATTTCATTCTCGTTGACACATATTGTTGGCGAGGTTTCAAGTCCATTACTAATCCATGCACCAACGAGCCAAGCAGCAGCTGAAATCTGAGAATCCGTAGGATCAATCCCAAGAATTTCGCTTAAAATAATACGAAATTTTCCTTGTGCTACTTTAAAAATAACTTTGCTTGGTTTAAACATAAGACAATTTCGTCGTACATCATATGACGCGGTTAAGAAATCCTTGACCGGTACCTCCCAAATAAAATCTGTTATTGCGAGATTGGGTTTTCTCGCCATATCTTGTATCGCTGCTTTCTTAGCTGCTTCTTTTTTAAGATAAAGTTTTCCAGGACCGTAATAGTAAGAATCGGTCTTTTTAACTATCATATTGTTCACCTCGTCATATTCATACCAGAAGAGACGAATTCTGGGGTGAAATCCAGTGATAGGAATTTCACCACTTTGTATGAATGGATTAGCAGCGAATTTAAGCACAAGGATATGCTGGTCGTTACATTCGAAAGGTTCGGCCGGACCTTTATCATTTGGGAAAATACGATACATGCTGCCTTCACCTCTGGTAGTAGATTGAATAGTCCTTGGGCTGTTATCATCTCCCATAATTTGATTACCAACAGTGAGCTCTTCAACATTTTTGTATGTACCATCGTACATTAAAAATTTGGTCCCCCTTGCAAAGCATTTACCAACACCTATAATAATATGAATTGTCAATATATATTTTTTTATTTCAATGAAAAGTTATCACATAAGGAATTTCGAAACCCACCATTTACTCCAATAAAGCAAATTGTATAAGGACGTGATTCAGATTGAGCTTGTGCAATATCACGTAACAAGTCAACTGATGTCTTGGGTGTAAGTATTCGTTTTAATGATACTTCCATAGATTGTTTCACAGTTGATTGAATGCCTTTTAATTTGATTTAATGGTAATTTATTAATTGACGGATTCACTTAAAACAATAAATATACCGACTTTAAAAAACTTACTCTTAAAACTTCCAGTCTTTTGCCCTACAAGATTTCTTGCAACAGAATCACATAAATGAGTTGCAATGTCAGCTGCGACATTTTTTTTAATTAAATGTTCCTTCATTTTTGCTAATGCCGGAACAAGATCTTGTTGTGTAATTTCTTTTTGTCCAGTGATGTTCCTGAAAAATGAAAACACGCTAGATTGACTATCATTTTTGTTTGATTCTTCATTTTCTTCGTCATAATCATCCTCCTCGGATTTATCACTATCATTTTGACCCAGATCCTGCACTTCATAATGTCCGTCTTGAAACTGTCCAAATTGGTTTTGATCAACCAAATTATGTGTATTTACTGCCGATGACCTATCTGTATCGTCTTTGTTCCCACTATAATCCAAACTTTCCATTTCATCTTTTGAAATTTTGTCTTCCCATGTACGCAATGTTTTCTTTCTAGTTGGCTTTTTATCACTTTGATATATTCGATATAATAAAAATTAATACTACAATTATAAATAAACTGAATGTAACACATCTATTTGTATTCGCTTACTCTGATGAGGACTCATTGGACGGTTTGCTACTTCTAGATTTAGTTCGTCCACCACGGCCTCGAGTAGGCTTTCCACGAATTGCTTCAATATTGCGGGCAATTTTATCATCACTGATGATGGGGATCGTGGGTGGTTTTGTTATATCATTCACACCTAAATATAAAAAAAAGTTATCTTTAAGAAAATTTATCTTCTAATGGATCAAACTTATGTTATTATGAATCAACTCACTAAGTTTCTTCGATCCTTCAATTGTTTCTTTAAATTTTTTAGTTTGTTCAAATGGTCGCGGTTTAGATAATTTATCATATCCCTAAAAAAGATAATTCAAATACGCACAATTAACTATCTACATATTTAGAGATTTGAACAAAGAAAATTTAAAACCTTCGAATCTTTTTCTTCGATATTATTGAATATTGTGTTGAAATCATCATCGAATGCATATTTGTGAATACTACTGGTGTTTCGAATATGTTCAGCAAATTTATCACAAAAGAATTTCTTAACGGTAGCAAGAAGTTCCTCAATATATGCAAGTTGAAGAATTTTCTGATAAGCAGCCTAAATGGTTATCAAAAAATATAAGTTACAAGTATAAAAATCTAAAGAGTCGTGGTTAACATTGTTGTAATGTCTTAAGTCAAGCTCAAACCTGTAAGTATTTAATTCAAGCCAACAGTACAACTCACTTTATTGGACATTTACCACAAAAATAAGATCTAATTCGTTTGCGAATGTCCATTTCAAGCTATAGGAATCTTTAATATAGCTGTTTTCACCGGCTCTCTCTTCAATCAATACATCTTTAATCAAGGCATCAACCGGAGAAGACGTAATGCGAGTAAAAGATTTCGACCAAAGAACAATTCCACCTTTCGTTAAAATTGTAAAGAAATCAAGCATATTGTGTTTTGAAGAAAAAAACAATCATTTTTTTAAATTTAATTTTATCAAAATTTTGAATACTAAAATGGGGCAATCGATGATTGGTTGAAATATGAATGATCTGCGTAATCAACAAAATATTTACGAGTGTGGGAAGAACAAAATAACAGAATATCTTAACAATTATTACGTTTATTGATGCTGATGCTAAAAATTATGATTTGAGAAGTTTTTAAAATTTTATAAGGAAATAAATCTGCCTTTTTTATTTTTATTTATAGGAAGAAAGTTATTAGATTAAAATATATAAGATTCTTAGAACCTGAATTTTCTAATAATCTTCTCATATATAAGTTAGTAATAACCCGAATCCGTTATAGAAGAAATTATAAAATATCATCAAAAATCTATATAATATTTTGATAAGATTGCTTATCTAAACCTATTTTGGATTTGGTTAAGTTTTATAATTTTAAAATAGTTTTTTTTTTTTACTTTTTTATTAATTATAGATAGATAATATTTTCAAAATAAACTTAAAAATATATGCTTTTTAATGTTAAAATTCATAAAGTTTTTTTAATGATATAAAATTAATAAATATAATAAAGTTTAGCTTTTTATAAATGAAATATTTTTAATAAAAAAACTTAAATTTTATCATCATTATTTTTAATAACAGATATAAATATTTATAATAAAAAAAAAACCAAAATTTAATTTTAAAGTAATATTCAAATCTAAATTTATTTTAACTAAAAAGTTATATTTAATATACAGTCAACTCTTGTTATAACGAACTCTATGTTCTAGACCTCAACTTCGCTATAAGGCTATAGTTAAGATTTCAAGAAATTTAATTAGCCAATTCGCTATAACAAGAGTATTTTTATTATATTTGTTTAAAAAATTCGTTATATCAAGAGTTCGCTATATCAAG